TTGTGATTTGGAGCTGACATGGTCGAAGCTCATTTTTGCCTATTGAGGGAAGCATGTTTTAACCGGTTCTTTTCGAAGTATATTTGAAGTAGTGGCCTGCGATTTTTGTTTAGTGACAGTCGGGCGTCCCCGAGTTGCGTTAATTTGGTTGTATCAACCGTTTTGACCGTAGTCATATGTGTTTGGCCGGAGCCATTTTTGATCCCAAGTGATAGTTTAGGCGTCTACACCGAGGGTATGCCCTTTCGGGATTCTTACAAATACGACGTATAACCTAAACTTCGAGATTTTCATGCCTGTTGAGGTCTTACGGTTTGTCATGCCTGTTGAGGTCTTACAATTTGTCATACCTGTTGAGGTCTTATAATTTTTGTTGTAATGTAGAATAGATCTGGTTACGCCGAGTCTGCCCGCTAGGGGTCTTACAGTTTTGGGTTTTCCAGTGCATGGCGATAGGCAACAGTCTTCGAGTGATTGAGTTTTCTTGGGCTCGAAGGCCGCTTTTCGTGTGCTCGGAGTTATCTTTGTAGGGGATTTATGAGCTCGGAGTTCCGACCCTGGGGTCACGCATGTGCTGAATTGTTGATGCTAAGTCTCTGAGTATCTCGGGACGCATTTAATGGAGAGGCCTTTGTCGTGAGCATGTTGAAATCCCCCTTTCTGCAGTACGAGATGCCGAAAGATATTCTTTATTGCTTGACGCAAACATATGTTGTAAATACATGCCATTTTGTTGTTGCGATCTCGGCCCGCGCGGGCGCGGCTCCTTGGACCATTCGGTCCGGTGCATTATTCACTATTAAAACTTAGTCTGACGCTTCCCGGTCCTTCGGAGGGGATGGTGCCCTTAAAATAAGATCACCACTCGTCATTTGTCTGTAGGAAAAAGCCTGTGATCTTGTCGGATCCTCCTCTAGGGGCACGTTACTCCACTAATAATCTTGCTGGCGAGACCCTTGTTGGGGCAAAAATTCGATCGAGGTAAGAGAGCGCGGCGGGCCCTGCTAAGGCCTTAAGATTTTCGGGCGGAGTTAGAACTTCCGATTGTCTCGACTGGTTATCTGCATACAGGTTAGTGAAAAAATAACAAAGGAGTGAAGCAGTACTTCCTCACTGAGGGATGTGTAGGCAATGTTTCGAGACTTGGTATGTTCCTGCCCTCTCAATGTGTGAGCCCTAATACAGCCCTCTGTTGCATTTGATCGGGCTTGGTCGAAGATGTGATTGGCTTACCTTTTGATCCTTCCGAGGGTTGAGGCATTGATGCCAGCGACGCGCCATATAGTGGGGAATTTCCCCTCGTTGCATATTGCTCCCTGTCGACTTATTTTAATTCGGTCACTTGTGTGGGATTTCATTCTTTTGGTAAAATGGGGCCAATGCTGTCTCCGGGCGGTATGGTCGTGGCCATCTAAATAAGACGTCCGTATTTTGCACCTTCTTCGATGGTATAGAGCCCGGCGTCCCAGCTCGAGCTTTAGATGGGCTGTATAGAGAGAACGGTCTTCCTTCTTGTTGTGGTGATCGTTGTTTGGAATCCGTCAAAGATTCGGGGTGCGGGAGCGATTTGGTTCGTTAGCCCGAACTGCCCTATTGACTTGGGTCCAACATCGTTGGTATGTTTTATCGAACCACATGTATTCATGAACACATGTTATATTGTAATAGATCAAATGGGGGAGAGGGTTACCAATGTGTCAGTGTGAGGCTGAGGCGAAGTCTCGGTGTCCTTTTCTCTAGATATAGGGGTTCCCTCTGGAGTATATCCCTGGACCCGTTCTTCCATAGCGACGATCATTTTTACTTTCCATTTTATGAATCCTCGGAGGGTGTCGCCGCTCCTCCACTGTCGTAGTAATACGCCATGGCTTGTTTGCTTCATTCTTCCTGGTTGCCTTCCTCCCTTAGGGCTGGATTCGATCCTGATCGCTCGGCAACACTCGGTGGCGATTTTTATTGAGTAGCGCGGTCGTTGTTCACCTGAGCTGATGGCCATTTTTGACCCCGTGGCCGCACGTGCCCTGCGGTTCCCTTGCCAAGTTGTGGTTCCTTTGACGGGGTCTTGGTCGAGCAGGCCTGAGTCGTTCGGTATCCCTGGTTTCGCTTATGTTGATCACGATGTTTGGTATGGCACTGTTGAAATTGTACTCCGCTGGGCGGGGTCCCCCTGTCGGTCGTGCCTCATCGAATCTGGTTCTACTGAAGATTCCTCGAGGATGTTGCCCTCGAGCTATTTCCCGATTGTTGTAAGGTAGGTTGCATCTTGTGGCGTTCCTCCTATCCGCGGTGCACGGGTGGTACCTTTATCTGTTTAGCATTAATCTTTTTGCCGGGAGCCTGCTTGGGTACACCAGGCCCAAGGAGGCTTCCGGATGGTCGTTCACGACCCTGATTTATGGCTGGTGCCGGGCATGGGCACCCGACCAGATCTCGGTTGGGTATCTGATAAAGTTTCGTTTGAAATGTCCTGGAGTCATCGGGCATAATTCGTTTAAGCTTCGGGCGACGGCCTGTGTTGCCCAGCCATCCGAAACCGGGGGCGATCTCATTTGTTCCATCAGGGAATGAGGCGCTACTTCCTGCGGCATTTCATTCTCTCTTTGCTCGGCCTCAGATATGTCGGGCCATCCGTTGCTGCTTTGATGGTGTCGGTGTGTGCCTCGGCGGAGGAATCTGCTAGTACAGTGAGTGAGTCTGTGAGGTCAGGCGCTAGGCTGTAGCGCCATATCATGGTGCCTTTTGGGAGTGTTTCCCCGAACTTTTTCAACGAGACGGGCTCAAACTAATCATCTTGAAGGTCGCTGCCTTTTCCCGTGCACGTGTAAGCGGTGGTGCGTTCCTCAAGATCCGAGGTTCTGTCGTACTCAAGGAGTTCTGACGTTTCGGATTTTCATGAAACGGGTTCCGGAACTGCTTCCTCGAGGGACGACTGTTGTATGAACTTCCACGAACCTGACTCGATCCTCTTGGAGAGATCCCCAAGCATCTTCGCTATGGCAAGGTCTGTTATCGATTCGTTGTTGCTTGATATTCCGGGTACTCATTCGGAGCGGGGAGCTGTTTCCGGTGCTACTGTGTTGGAAATCTTCGGATGGCTCTGCAACTGAGCGATAGCCAACCGCTGTGCCTGCAACATTTCAAAAATATCGTGAAGACTAACTTCCTGTGTTTTCCGAGTCGGGGTTTGTTGGGCTTCCTGTTGGTCGATGTATTGTCTGCTCCTATCGGTGTACGAGGCTTCGTCGACCTACTGCGCGCCTTGCGAACCTGTGTCTGCTGGAATCGGCCCAGATGCGTTATCGGGGTTCTGCGATGTCGTGCCAACTGCTGGAACAGCCACACCATTTTCGCCGTGATTTTTGGGGTAGTCATTTTCGACTCAGTTTACCGAGCCAGACATTTTGACCTGAAATCAAAGGATCTTGGACAAGAAAAAAGTGTGAAAGATAACGCGCGTTTGTGCTATGGAACCAGCAAGAAAATAATCACTATTATTTTTAGCCACACGGTGGGCGCCAAACTGTTTACCATGAAAATGGTAACAACAATTAAATTTGTAAATGGGATTCTAAAAATACGTGATCTATTCTCGAGCTAGTTGTTTAGAGCAGTTGATGCTAATAATATGGAATCTTAATGATGAAATGCAAGCTAAAACGAGTTAGTAATCGAACCGAGGGGCCTACTGCTCGATATAGGTCTGGTCGATGGGGGACTTCGGGGTCGATGTCAGGGTCGAGCTCGAGCTATCGGGGATAGCCGGGAATGGGATAACAATTAAGATATGATCAAATGAGGTTCTTTATATCCAATGTCAGGCGATAAAATGAAGAACAAGTGAGAAAGGGATAAATATTAGAGTGGCCTCGGGCCAGTGAGAACAACCAAGCTAGAAAGAAAAGAGAGAGAGAGAGAGAGAGAGAGATATTATTGCACTTGTGGAGAAAATGGAGTGACATCAGTCCCTTACAAGGTAGTGTGAGTCCCCTTTATATAGGAGGGAAACTCGGCTACAAGTACATGGGCATTAATTACAAAGTATGGAGATGGGATGGCTTGACGCGACGCCTTAGCATGGGCTCTGGATAGGCCGGCCTTGTTAGACTTAGCCGTGCCTTGGGAGCTTCCCCCACTATCCTGGCTTTGATCTCCGTCTTCTCTGAGTCGGGCCTCGACTAGCCCCGAGGTCGGGAACTCAGTCGTGGCTTCCCGTCCTCGGGGTCTCGAGGCGTTCTTCTGAAATGACTTGATAGCGAGAAATCAAGTCCTCTGATTTCGTCGCATAAAAACATAAATGTGGATACTATATTCTATAAGAACAGTTCATCATAACAATACAAGATTAAAAAAAAAATGATGAATTCCATAGGAAAATCAATAGTGATTTTCGTTATCTCTCTCTTTGGTGGCTCATTCCTTTGGAGATTTGATAGAAGATGTTTGCAAAAAATCTACAGACTACAAATTATGCGTCAATTCTCTTAGAGTGGATCCTAGAAGTTCTTTTAGTGATAAAAAAGGTTTGGTGCATATTATGCTTCAATTGTCTTTAGGCAAGGCTAAGAATATTTATAATCAAACTCTAATTATGTTAAAGCAACCAATGGAGCCCATTTTTAAGCAATGCCTTCAGATTTGTAGGGATAATTATGATCTAGCCGTGTCACAAATTACAAATTCGATTAAAGATTTAGACGAGACCTTTTATATGGTGAATAGTGAGATAAGTAGTGCCATTACTTGTTCCATCACTTGTGAAAGAGTCTTTCACTGAACGGCCAGTTCGCAAGGACCCTATTATATGGTGTCTGCTATATATTCTCGGCTCATGTAATACAAAGACACTATTCAAATCGCAAAGGAAAATAACAAATGTCTTTAAGAAGTTCCAATTAGCAAGAAAAAGAAAGGAAAAATCGCAAGGAAAATAGGGAGACACAAATTCTACAATCAGTGTCATTTTATGTGGTCAGAACGATATGAAAAACATGAGTCTTTAACATTTTACTACATATTTTGCTGAAAGAAAAAATTGCAAGCCATATTAATACTACTAACAAATACTATACTGCTATATATAACTAGCAGAAATCGTGGATTGCAATATCATTTGTATTCATAGCAGATCTAAGTAATGTGGGACTGTGGAGGGTATCCATTTATCACCCTGAATAAAATTCCTGACTGTGAAACTTGATGTGACATTAGGATCATTAGTGATACGCGCCCATGTTACACGTCCCGTTGTGTTTGCACCAGGTCCTCTATTTTTGAATTCCATATAGAATGGGCGAACTAGGGTCTCTCCTTGAAACTCTATCCAGCCTTTTGGATTTATCAATAGGTCTATGGAACTCTGCATGATCACAGTAGTTGAAAAGTTACCCCATGGCCGCCCTAAATACATAGTCACATTATCCGCATCGGGAGTTGCTAATTGTAACGTGCAATTTTGCAACACGAATCCTGATGCTTCTTTCTCGCCATTTTTCTGTTGTGCTGTGATGGTAATATATTGGCCAGGAAGTGGCATACGTGCTTCAACTAAACAATTTTGGAACACCGCAACTGCATCGCCACAGATAAAGTCAACAGTGCCCAAAATTGTACACTCCCTGTAGAACTGCTTGCCAGAGTGTGCGTATAAGGTGTCCTGAAAACCGTCGAATTTACACCTATAGAAGGTGCATGAATCAGCAGTTGCTCTTAAAGCTACTGCCTGTTGCATCTGAGCTCCAGCAATGTTTCGAAAAGTGATGTCTTGCGCCATGAATCCTTGCCCATTCACTCCTTCAAAGAGAAACCAAATTAAACTGTCATCAGATCAATGATGCAAATACTGTTGCATGCAAACGTAATACTACGTGATATGATTAATCGGAGTAAATTAAGAACAATCAGTATAATTACCTACTGTAGCACTGTCATACGTCCGGATGCCACCTCCATAGCTTTTATTCCCTGATATTATGGTTTTGTCCATTCCTTCTCCGATGAGAACTATGTTTGTTTTCCATTCTTCGATTTGGACATATTCGTTGTAGGTTCCTTGTTTTATTAGGATGTAGTATTTTGTAATGCTGCTGTTTGGAGCTGCCGAAACTGCAGCCATTATTGTCGTATAATTGCCTGATCCATCTAATGCTACTATTGCATTAGGTGGCTGTGTTATTTGTTGGCATCCTCCTCGGCATAAAATGCAGGCTAACAAAATCATGACCATAGTAGTGGTGAAGTACGCCATTGATGCAAAATAGCAACAATAATCAAATGCACTAAAACCGTGCAAGAGAATTTTAATGAAAGCAGTAATTTCGTCACTCTTTGATTTTTTTCGACAACAGAAACTCAATTGATCAATAGGAAGGAGAAAATATTGAAACTTGGAATGAAGGATCAAAGGAAGTTGAACATCAATATATAGCAACACTAGTTGGTCTAGTGACGAAGAAATGGTAGGGAAATATTAAGAATAATGGACATTTTTGGGGTAAGTTTTTACCCTAGTTGGGGTATAACTTAGGATAATGTAGTATAACTAATATTATTCTGTTTATAAGCGAATAAATATGTTCATAATAGAGCAATGGAGAAAATGGTATACCTCTGCTTTTATTGTATGTTGGATCTTTATCTATGGTTATCCTTTACAAGTTAAAAATTTAATTACGCATATCATATATCCTTTTCATCAAGTTATTAATTAATGGCAACGAATTGATTTGCACTATCAAGTTTTTCTTTCTTAATCGTCTAGCTTCCGGCTACACGCATAAAATATCAATAGACATATATATCTAAATCTCTCTTTTCAAGTAACTTTTTTTTCCTCTTTGTCAAAGCCAACATCTTTCATGCTACTTACAGTAGTAGTAATTAATTAGTAAACAGTATTTTAAAGAGCGAAGTGTGAACTGAGATGTTTTACTTAACGTGGGGTGAGGCATAAGTCTCAAAACATGAAGGGTTTTAAGTTTGGGCGAGGATTTTATTTGACCATTATGAAAAAAATACAATGAAAGAAGTTTTATCACCTTTTGTTGTTCAAAAATTCTTTTATTGAAATAAGTCTTATATAGTTTGACTAGAAATTGAAAATGGTAAATAGTGTGAAGCAAATCTAGTCTATTGTAAAAAAATAATTATATAAAGTCGATAAACAAAATTTAGAAAGAAAATTAGGAGAGTATGCTTTTTAAATTAAATAAACAAGTTAATATTACCTCACATCAGAGGACAATTTGAAACTTTGGTAAAAGCATTTTTAATAAAACAAATTAATTTGCAAGAAAGAGAAATAGTAAAGAACGTTATGATAATTGTTTAGAAGGTCATACACATACACATAACACACACATGGAGAGAAAGATATACAAACATATTTATATTTACTTCCTAATTAATATTATTGTTATTTTCTCCTCTTCTCCAATCAAACCAAGCATGGAGTTGATTTTTTGTTTTATTCCCTTCATTATTAAGTGTCACGAAAAATAGAAAGGTCCCTTTGTTGAGTAGGAATATTTATTTTGAGGGCAAAAACCTTGACCGATGAGTTGGTTGAAGAAAATATATAGACTTCCTTCCATTGGTTTTGAAACAAAGTTTTTTGAAAGTTATAATTTGGCATCGTCTAGTAATGCTAAATCTACTTTATCCCTTTAATCTTTAAAGGTTGGAAAATAATATATATCTTTTATTTTTTGAATGGAAACGATTACCCTCTTACACAATATGTTCTGATGAGATTTAAAATATTAACACAAAGAAAAAAAGTATTATGATCTTTTTCTTTTTTGTTAAAGATTTTTTAATCCAAAATCATCAAATGCGCATAAGTAAAAAACACCAGCTCAAAACTTCTGATCAACAAGTTATTTTTATAAACAACAGATGGAGTGCAGCTCAAAAATGTATAGGTCATAAAAAAGGATTCGTATTTGTGCACATCCAAAATTGGAGTCTGACTCATGATATATATTTATAAACTTATCACTACATGCAAGATCCGTCAAAAAATATCAATTGATTTAGTATTTATCATTAAATTTACCAAACGTTCAACACTGGTTTGTAATTTACCAACCAATTTCACCTGTATGATGGTAAATTTTCCAACTATTTCAATATTAGTTGGTAATTTACCAACGGACTTAGGCTCTGTTGGTAGTAATTACTAATAAATTATTCGTCATATGTAATATTATCAACTAATTCTAATCTGTTAATAATTTACAAACCACAATCTTGATTTGTTGGTAAAGATTTACCTCTGATTTAGTATTCGTTGGCAAGTTTACTAACAGATACCAATTGGTTAGTAATTTACTAACGCTCTTTAAATTGGTTGGCAAAATTAGCAACAAATCCTTCTGTTAGTAAATAGTTGGTCACTTGGTTGGTAATTCGTCACTAATCTGTTGATAAACTATACTTGATTTTTCCACTATATTTACCAACTAAATTATTTAGTTAGTAAAATCTCGCTTGGCAATTCGTTACTAAATTCTGAAAATTAAATCAATTACAATTTTGAGTAATCTGCTGCTAATATATAACAAATTGTTTTTTTTTTTTGTAGTGTGGAAAAACTTGGCTGCTGATACCGATTTGGATGACTTCTTAACTGGTTTACTTGCTTGAGGAAATGATTTTGGTCACATGCGATAAAATGAAGTCCCTTATCAGAATAGAACCTTACTATCCCTCGTCTTTTTTCTCCCTAATTAGACACAATTATTGAATTATCTTATCACTTAGTAGTTCTGACGTGCCACAAAAGGTAGAAAAGGCTTTTGTTCCTTTTGAACAATCTGCTTGTGTTTCCATTTGCTTTTGCAATAACTTCATGTTATCCCCCGTCATAGGATTTCTAAGCTTTTTAAGTGACTGAATTCTAAATTATTGATTTATAATTAATTGAAAAAAATTTAAGACAAATACAGAATTTGAACCAAAGTTACTGGGTTCGTTGAATTCGTAGACAAAATGTTAGCTCCGCCCCTGAATGTAACGACCCGACTGGTCGTTTTGAGCAATTGTGTCCGGTTTGGAAGTTTGAGGTCACGAGCATCTTCATATTATGTGTATCGACTTGCGTGCATGGTTGGATTCTGTTTCCGGATGAATCAGAGTCGAATTGGAAGAAGGAATCTAGTTTTAGAAGCTCAAGCGGTGAGGAATTTGACCGGAATGTGACTTTTAAGTAAACGGCTCCGGAATGAGTTTTGGATGATCTCAGTAGCTTCGTATGGTAATTTTGGGCTAAGGCGTGTGTTCGAATTTCGATTTGGAGGCCCGTAAGGTAATTTGAGGCATTTCGGAGAAAGTTGGAAAAGTTGAAGTTTGGAAACTAGAGAGGTTTGATCCATAATTGACTTTTGTGTTATCGAATTCGGAATGCAAATCCGAAAGTTGGAACAGCTCCGTTATGTCATTTGGGACTCGCCTGCAACATTTGGTGTCGATTGGAATTGATTTGATATAGTTCGCACGCTTGGTTGCAATTCTAGAAGTTCTTAAAGTTCATGGTGATTTTCATGCGTTTTGGCATCCGATTCGTGGTTCTAGAGGTTATTTTGATGTTCCGATCGCACAAGGGAGTTTGTGTTATGTGTTCAAACTTGTGTGGGTATTTGGTTTGGAGCCTACGGGGCTCGGATGAGTTTCGGATTAGCTTCGGATTGTTTTGTTAATCTTTATGTGTGTTGGTTCTGGTTTTCTCGCATTTGCGAGGTTTTGGTCGCAATTGCGACTACCACAATTGCAAGGTAGTCATCGCAATTGCGAACTTGGACTGCTGGGGACTGGGTCGCATTTGCAAAGAAAATACTGCATTTGCGAAGCCTTCGGAGTTCGCATTTGCGATGAAGACAGTGATGTTCCAGGCTCGCAATTGCGAAGGTTTCTTCGATTTTGCGAGCTCGCATTTGCTAACCCGGTGTCGCAAATGCGACATCTGCAGCCTGCTAAAAGCTGGGTATTCCGAGTTTTTGCTTCATTTTTCATATTTTTGAACTCTAGAGTCGAGGTGAGGCGGTTTTGTGAAGAAATTGGGTAAGTACCTTTAATCAATTCCCAACTACATTTTGTGATTATATCTTAGATTTAACATCAAATTCATGAGAATCTAAAGGAAAATTTGGGGAAATTATAAATCTTTCAAAAATGTAAAATGATGATTTGAAGGACCAAATGGTATCGGAATTTGATAATTTTTGTATGGGTGAACTCGTATCGGAATGGGTATTCGGTTTTTGTAAATTTTGTCGGGTTCTGAGGTGCGGGCCCGAAAATTTGACTTTTGTTGACTTTTTACAAACTGTTGTGCTTATTGATTTTTCGTGATTCTCTTTTTGTCTTATACTCATACATTGGGTGGTAGAAATCTTTGTGATTGGATTGTTGAATTGTTGTTATTGTTGATTTTAAACTGTGTCTATTTTAAACTGTGTCTGGTTGTTGATATGTTGAGGAGGAATAAGGGAGAATTGATATTGTATAGTGGGATCGGGTTGCACGCCACAACAAGGAGCAATAAGGGTGGACAGGTGAGATCCGGTTGCACGCCGCAATATGAGGAATAAGGGTAATATATTGAGGAGTAATAAGGGTGGACATCTGGGATCGAGTTGCACACCCAACAAGGAGTAATAAGGGTGAATGATCATGTTGTTACTGATATGGTGATATATATAATATTTACTTTTATTATAATGGTTACGGAGGAATAAGGGAGGATTGGTGGGATCGGGATGCACGCCGCATCAATATGCTTATGTATTCCTCTTTGACTGTACAAGTTATTCGTTGGTTTTACATTTCATTTAGGATTTGGTTATAGCTGAATACTGAGAAGACCCAGTTCATTTATTTAAGAATTGACAATTTGTATTTCAGGTTTGACTGCGTTGTGAGGATCGGGTTATTGGCATTGAGTTGTTGACTTGTCGTTGTTCCTTGAATTCTTCCCCTGAAACTATATTCTGGTGAATTAATTTTTAAAGTAAATTTACTATGTTGAATCATTTCCTCCTGTCATGTTAAGTTATTAGTAATATCTTGAATTAAACTAAAGGAAATAGTACTATGCTATTATATTTGACTTTTAAATTTAAACTCGCCTTGTATATATACACCTTCCAGTAATTCAAATTCCTATAAATATTATGTTTTATTTCCATTAGTTTCTCAATTAAATTTTCTTAACTCAGAGATACTGAATCTTACTTAAAAAGGAATTTCTACTAACTTTTAATTTATTTAATCCTATATTAAAGGTAATAATTCATTCGATGTTGAATTTTATTTGAAAAGGGTATTTTTTTTTATTTAAATGATTTCTAAAAATAACTTCATCTTTTCTTAC